CTTTCCATCTAAGAATAAGCAGGCATTTTACAGAATTAATTATATGCCACTACTTATAAATCTGTTTTATTGGTCAGTACCATTTTCTGCTTTCACACTGAGTGCGATTAAGCATGTGAAGAGAATTTAACCCAATAATTCTATGCCTAGAAATCAATTATCAAAGAAAATTAACAGTAAGGAAGACCAAAAAATGTATAAATAATGTTTGCTGAAGCATCTTGAATACCAGAAAAATTAGGAACACCCTAAATGGGTTAAGTAAATTATGGTAAAAGTATATAAATATTCTGTACACATTAAAATGAGTATTTGTGAGACGTATTTAATGACATGAATAATTGTTTATAAGGCATTATGTTAAAATATATAGTATGGAGTACAACTCAACTTTATGAAATTTTATACATTTAAAAACACACACATATATTCAAAAAGCACTAGAAGGAAATACATCAAAATATAAATTTTTTTCTTTGCACTCTCATGTGTATTCTGTGTTTGTTATAAAAAGGATGCCTTGCTTTTGTAATCAGAATTTTAAAAATTCATCAACTTTTTCACAAAGATTTTCATAATGGCATTGTCTATAAAGGAAAATATAGAAACACTTTAAATGTCCATCAGTAAGGGAATAGAAAAGTAAACTGTTGTGCGTATATACTACAGAATAGCATGTGGCAATAAAAATGAGGAATATCTGACTTTGCTGACACAGAATAATCTCTAGCATACATTGTTAAGGGTAAGAAACTCAATATGTACACCAAGGTTTACATTATTCCACTTATATACAAATAATAAAAAACAAAACTATATTTCTCTGTTTCATATAAATACATGTACATTTTAAGGGTACTTTCTCCATTTCCTATAAATATATGTACTTACATTTTAAGGGTATTTTCTGATATGCATATAGGTATTTGTTTACATCTGGGGACTAAGTAGCTGATTAAGTGACATTTAAACTTTATCAGTATTATTTGGATTTTTATGAGTTTACTCATGATTATTTACATAAGTAAAATCATACAGAAACAAAAGAGAAAAATGCCATCAAAGAACTATATTCCCCAATCAGCGGTCAATCCTTTTTCTTTGCACCCTCTCAGAGAACAAGGAGCTCCTTTAAAAGAGGTCGGTAATGCCAAGAGATGGCGAAGAGCTTCCCTTTTATTACAGGAGAGTTGCTGACACCACAATTCTGGTGCTGACTTTTCTTTTTCAGGACCAGGGTTTGGCATCTATGCAGTTGTTCATCTTCTCCTTCCTGTGATGTCCCTTTGGCTCCGTCGTAGCCATAAAGACCATTCTTACTGGGATNGTTATGAGGAAGAACTATGGGAAAGAATAAATACTTAATGTAGAAGTTTCATTTTAATGATTAGATAAGAATAATTTTTACTTAGCATCTTATGCCTCCAACACAGACAATTATAAGCAGAAGCTAATGTTGCTTATCTATAACACAGTCTTTAAAATAGCTGTAAACAGTTTGTATATGTAACAGTGAGCATTCCCTTCCCATTTGTGCAAATCATTACTCCTGGTTTTTGTTTCCAGGTCTGATAGAAGTCTGGATAATCCTGCTGGAGCAGCTCACAGCAGCTGTGTCCAACTGTCCACGTCAGCACCAACCCCCTACCTTGGATTTACTCTTTGAGCTACTGAGAGATGTCACCAATACACCTGGTAACTATTTCTACATCTATCTTTTGGGGGAGTTGTTACACATAACTTTTTTTCAGGAGGGTATTTCTGTGAGTGCCTACCTGTTTCACTGCAGTAACCCTAGACGGTATAATAAGTGCTCAATAAGTATGTGTTGGAAGGCTATGGTGCAGTGATGTTTAACATATGTCCTATTATTGTTTATGGGTCTTCCCACCAGTCCATTTACAAATAATGTGTGATGGCCAGTTAGTTGGATGTGTTGAAGCCCCACAGCAATCAGACCAAGGCTGTGGTATCAGTGTCTCCGTGAGCCAGTTGGCTTTGCCCTGTCCCATAATTGCAACCTTCCACTTCAGCCAGATCTTACATGCTTTTGACCCCCGAGCTGTCAGTTGGGCTCACTGTGTCTACCACTGCCATAAATAAACCACTCAAACATATGTATATGCAGTATTAAGACAGCAACATCTTGATTGTATAAAGGTCATAGGTGATTAGATTTGTAAAAGATATTTAGTGATCACTAGTACCCTGATAGTACAGAAAAAGAATGGCCCTTAGGAATTTATTTCTTGTTCTGAATTCATCAAGGTTAGCA